AAATATAAGTTGGATTTCCAAACAAGCATCAAAATCAATCATAGGAGTAGTGGCAAACTGATATGTTAAGATAGAGGAGTCTGGAGGGTAATCCATGAATAACATGATTCCCTTCAAATAACACCTATTGATAATAACCTGAACTGGAGATAACTAGAAGGCAGGACATAGGCACAACAATAGTGACAATTATGCTTAAGCTAACTTGTACCCTGCATTATGTGGGGTAGATAGGCATATATCCTCCCACGACATCATGGCCTGTCACATAAATAGCAAAGAAAAAGTGGTGTAGTAGTCATGTCTTTTCTAGGGTGGCATGTACATTATAGAGATGGGCAGAAGGGCAATGATGACTTGATATATACACATGTTTTCGTCCACCATTCCTCTACCTTTTGAGTCTCATCTCTCGTGTTTTAGGCCGATTTCACGCTAGGTTGTTCATGATATTTCAGGTCCTAGTACGTGAAGGAAGGTTCGGGCACGAGTTTGGGGTCGATTGGACGAAGTTGGAACGATTGACAGGAAGCTGGGAAACCACACGGCCATGTGACGTGGTCGTGTGGAACCACTTTGCGCGGGCAAGTCACACTGGCCGTGTACAGCGTCCCTTGTGGCCGTGTGGAAATCCCAGAGAGCTCACACGAGCAGGCCGAGATTTCACACGGCCGTGTGACGTGGTTGTGTAGGGTGCACGAAGGCACATAAGTGAAACGTGGCATTTTACACCTCCACACGGGCAGCTGGAAATTCTACACGGCCGTGTGGCCTGGCCGTATAGTCACGAAATTCTAGGTTTTAACCCAGTTTCGGGTCTTTTGAGAGGTGGATCGATTTTCAGAGCGAGAAACCGAGTCCTAGAGAGAGAAAGTGCGAAGAACACACCCTAGAGGTGATTTTGGAGCTGGGTTTCATAAATCAAGCTTGGATTTCATCCTTGGAGTGAAGATTATCATCCCAGAGCAGATTCTTCCCATCTTGATGAGCATGACTGATTTGTTTTCTGTTTTCTCTCTCTCTCTCTCTCTCTCTATGGAGTAGAACCCTCTCTCACTTGGGTATGAAGAACCCTAGTTCCATGTGTTAGGAACCTTGATTGTAATGACGTTTGGATTGTGATACTGCTTGATTATAATCGATTGAAGTGTTTTGATTGAGTCAATTGAAGCTTGATTATCTTTTATTGATTTCTGCTGCAACCTGAGATAGATAGAATATGATTAGGTTGTTAGAGCTTCTTCAATCGGTAGTAGTGAATCGATTATACGAGAGTTAGTCGATTCACTGCTTTGTGCTGGAATCCTGCTTTCTTACTACTTAGTTGGCTAGATAATAAATCATCACGGAGTAGGCAGTAGATGTAGACCCCGGGTTGATAAATAGAACTTGCCACTATTCTGCATTTTCGGACTGCGATTACACTTGGTCGCAGTTTGGTGTCGTGTTTTAGCGTGTCAGGCAACTAGGATCACAATTACCTTCAAGGACCCTATTGGCGTGTATCATAGAAAGAACTAACCATGTTCCCTTATATGACTGCACTTAGGACTTCCAGTAACATAATACAACCATAATAGATTGACCTGACGTGATGCAGATAGCAACTGGAATAATAGATTATATATCTTATAGCAAGGCACGATGGGTTCACATACTTTCATATCGACCACTTGATTTCTCCATCAAAGGTACTCTCAAATTGTTTGATCATATCAAAATTCATTTCTTGACCATGTTAAGATCTCAGTTATAAAAAAATCCTCCCCTTATTAGTTAATTTAAAATGGAGCAGAAGGCAATTGGAATGAGAGACACTGGGACGCTACTTCAAATCATTAACTTTTTTAGACAACAAAGGTCACAAAGTATGTTCTCAACCAAGTCAATCTAAACTTCCCCTCTTCTCCAGTTGGGACATTCCCTTAAATGAAGCAAAAGAGCAGTTGGCATAAGCAAACAACCATAAGTAAATTCACTTTGTCCCAACAAGACCGTTATGAAGTATTTTTGTCAATCATAAAATCATTGTGAAGTTCTCCCATAGGACAATTCAACAAGACCCTTCACAATTTAAGAATATGAAATGGAATAGAGGAGCAACTGGAAATACTAAATGAGCGCCTCTAGGATACCACTTTTAAAACATTAGTTCTCATTCTCAAACATAATAATTACCAAGTATTCACTTTATCAATACCAGTCATTCCAAAGTTTCCCCAAGACAATTTGGGGCTTCCACATAGCATGATAGAGCAGAGGGGGAACTCAAATGCCTAATTGACCAGCTCAATCTTAAGTGATAACAAGACTGGACTATCACACATCTCTAACATGGCTACCAGACATGATTTCCATCATTATTAACTAAGGGTAACCCTCCTGATATTCACAATGCAGCTCAGACAATTAATAGCATAAGAAACAAGCCACCTCATGTGAAATTATGGTAATCAGCTTATCAAGTATACATAGAGGAATATGGACTAATAAACCATTAGGTCGGTTGCTAAGGAGAAGCACCATACCTTTTGCCATCAAGATCCAGCCTTGGAAAATGCAAATAATCTGATTATAATGAGTGTCCTAAAGGAATTTACTGTACTGAAGGAACAAAGTATGCAGAAGACATTATGATCACCTTCTAAGATCCAATTGTCATGGCTGTATCAAAACTAGGGTAACGGGAAAGTAGAACAATGGAACAAGACTATACACAATTTCCTGTGGAACCCATTACCATGCACTCTGCAGAATGAAGAAAAACTAAGCTGAAAACAAAGTCATTCTAGTACACCGCTGAAACAAACTAAATGCATAATAAGGATGAGGTGGAGGGACCATGACTAAAGACCAAAGTCCTTTAAAGACCAGAAATGTAACAGTTAGTTGAGAGTTGCCAAATCATACAGTGTTGATTAAACGATAAGAGATTGATAATCAAACTTACCATTACCCAAATGCGTTGAGAATGCGGGATGCACCATAAGGCAAGCATCATAAGGCAACTCAACTGTGAGCCAACAAGTAAAAAGTGGATTTCAAACAAGCTTTCAAAGGCAAGCCTCTTTAAATAAATACAACTTGGGGGAAATTATAACACATTTCAAATAAAAAATTCATATGTACGTAATGTAAATGTCTCAAACTTTCCATTGTTTTCACACACCACCACTGCCCCAATATTAACTGTCTCTTGCTACATTGCTTTCGAGAAAATCAGTCCTAACTTCCTTCTAAGACTTGTGTAACAGTTCACTTGATCTAGTTATAGTAGAATCTAAGGGAAACCAAATGCATAAATAGTTATAAAGTGATCGATCATGTATATTACAATCAATGATAGTTTACATATCAACATAACGTATACCAAATGACCAAATATAGATACTACGAGCAACAAGATTAATATAGCAATCTTAGTTGCTTTCTAGGGCACCCACGAGACTGTTGTCTTTGAAGAAAGCAGCATAAGAGAACGTCCAAAAGGAATAATCATTATCTAGCAAGTAAAGCAGTTGCAGAGCAAAACTTCTATTATGCTTCCAGAATGACATCAACACCATTCGAAAGTCTAGACTTGGCTATGTAATTATCAAGGCGAATGACTCCAATTGGACAATCTCGAAAATATATCCGTATTTCTTCCAAGTCCCTAGATTAACTAAAATTCCAGAATATCTTACAATAAAACACAAGATACTAAACATTTATAACCTTCTACACTCCATTTCCTAGGTCGAGGACAAGATAAACCAAAACAATAATATTGATAGAACATCACGCAAATTAACACTTCATTCCCACCACCTTCATTAGAAGCAACACAATCAGCGGCTCTGAAAACAAAACAAATACATGAGCTTTTAACAATATGGAGCAGTATGAAGTAGGCAAGAAGAAATGTTGTTGCACGGTATAATAAGGGTTGTTTGTTTGTGGGATTTGGGTGATGGATTTGGAACCCAAATCCCAAGCATCATGGAGTTGACACAAATCCTTTGTTTGTTGAGGGACACAAATCCGTGGGGTCCACGGATTTTGACCTCTTTTTTAGATCCAAATCCGTGGACCCCATGGATTTGTAAATCCCACATTTCATTTGGGATTTGACAATAGAAGAAAAAAATGTGAGACAAATCCATCACAAATCCATGATAAAAAATCAACTAAACAAACAATGTACTCTTCCAAATCCATGATGCAACAAATCCATCATAAATCCAAAGGTTTTTAAAACTCAAAACCTTCATTTTCAAATCCAACAAGCAAACGAGCCCTAAGGTCCCCTGACTATATCAAATAGTATTGATCTGATGAACCACGATGCCAACGTTTGTTACAACTTCTAGCATTTTGATCAGTCATATCAACAAGATCAGGGCACACAAGGCACAATAAAGAACAAAATTGGGAATTCAGAACTCCCAAATTGCCCTCAGTTTTACGATGCCGATAGGACTCCATTTTGAGGACACCACAAGTTCTCATATATTTAGTCAGAGCAAAACATCTCCCTAACAGACGCAACCATGAAACATAATATTGTAATTTGTGAGGCACGAGCATTCAAATTCACCATTAACATCATGTTTGTCCCAATATAGATGCCTGTCATCCAGAGTAGATAGACAACTAGATAACCAAGGCCTACTTTTGCAGAAGATATGCACAATTAATCCCAGAACATACAATCACAGGCACCAGACATTCATGTGCTTAGCCTTGTAATTTCTTGTTCCTCATCACCACTTAAAATCATCTTCCATACAATGATAATCATAAAGAAAGACATAAAGGACTATCGCAGGGGTTGAATAAATTACCAAGTCACCATAACATTTTATTTCGGAGTAGAAGGGCAACAAAAATTCAAGGTCTTGGTTGCTGGTACTTAAAACATATCAATCATTTCAATGTGCTTGGAGTAGAGTATATTTTGGTATATAACATACCATGCAGTAGCAATCATTACTAAGGTGTTACTGTTCACGAATTTCAGGAACTGTTTGAAACCAGTAAGTGGGACATAACAAATGCTATGATGAAACACTACCCTCTTCTGCTACACAAGTTTCTGGCTGAGAAATCAAAGATACCGTCACTGGTTGAGACCATTTTGTATATGAATCTGGAGCTTTATTCACTGAAGAGACAGGACCAGGTGGGTTGTAGAATTTATGATGCAAATATATGGACAGTCTGAACAAAGATTGATATCTGCTGCTACGTTTCAGAATTTCAGAAGTGTTCTGCTACTCATCAAAGAGGCATTCTTCAAACATGGTGAGAAGGAGGCCTTGAGGTCCTGTGTGAAAGCACTTAATTTCTGCTCCATAGAGAGCAAGGGAGAGTTGAAAGATTTTGCTTGTAACCAATTAAAGTATCTTGAAGATGAGCTAATTGCTAAGCTTAGATATGCTTTCAAAGAAGTTGCCCTGTCGTGAGTGATTGAGACACGTTGTGTATCACTGGTAAGGAGCTAAGTCAAATAAACCAAATAACAAGCATCAAAAGCAAACTAGAAGTATAATTTAAACGTCTAACAAGCGTTCAAAGGCAAGTCTCTTTAAAGAGGTACAACTTGTGGCAAATTACAACACAAGTCAAATCTAAATTCATATGGACGTAATATAACCATCTCAAACTTTCCATGTTTTTCACGCACCGCCACTGCACAAGTATTAACGATCTCTTGCTACAATGCTTTCAAGAAAATAAGTCCTAACTCCCTTCTAGAACTCCATTTTTATATTAATTTACATGGAAGGTCTAACAGTTCACTTGTTTGAGTTATAACAGAGTCCAAGGGAAACCAAATGAATAAATAGTTATGACGTTATGGATCATGTATATCACAGCCAGTGATTGTTTCCATATCCACATAACGTATACCAAATGACCAAAATATAGATACTACTAGTGACTGGACTAAAATAGCAATCTTATTGCTTTCTAGGGACCCACAAGACTGTCATCTTTGAAGAAAGTAGTGTAAAAGGTCGTCCAAATGTAATAACCATCATCTAGCAAGTGAAGTAGGTGCAGGACAAATCTTCTATTCTGCTTCCAGAATCACATAAACACCTTTTGAAAGTCTAGACTTGGCAATGCAGGTATCAAGACGAATGACTTCAATGGGTCGACATTGAAAATCTATCATTATTTCTTCCAAGTCTCTAGATGAACTAAAAGTCCAAAATATCTTATAAATAAAACACAAGCCACTGAACACGTGTAACCTTTTACCCTCCATTTCTCAATTCAAGGACAAGATGTATCAAAATAGTAGTATTGATAGAGGATCACCACCTTCATTAGAAGCAGCAAAATCAGTAGCCCTGTAAACCGAATACCCAAGCTTTTAATCTTTACGGGACTGTTTATGATATAGTACTCTTACTCAAGTTCCCTTCTAGGATTACATAATGGGCTTCCAGTTAACAATAGATTTAGAGAGGAGCAAAAGGACAACTAGCCGAGTAACTAATCATTTTGGGAGCCTATAGTCACTAAGCATTGTTCTAGCTAGTTCTATAAGAGCTCTATTTTGCTCTCCACTACACCATTTTGTTGGGGAGTCCTAGGAGCTGAAAATTCATGGGAGATTCCTAGTTGATCACAGAAGTTTCCAAAGCTTTTGAATCAAACTCTCCTCCATGATCACTTCTGATGCTTTTAACACTGAGGGATTTCTCATTCTGAATATTTTTTACAAGAATCTTGAATTTCTCAAGAACTTCATCTTTTGAATAAAAATATTACCCAAGTATATCTAGAAAAATCATCTACTATGACAAAGGCATAATACTTTCCACCAAACTCATCACATTCGTAGGCCCAAATAGATCTAGATGTAGGAGCTCTAAAGGTCTGATGAGGTGAAGTGAGATATACTCTTGAAGGTTGCTCGAGTTTGTTTTCCTAGAATACATGCATCACAAAAGAAGTCCTTTGATTCTTTTAATTGAGGAAGACCTACTAGACCCAATTTAGCTAATTTAGCCAATCTCTTTATGCTAACATGCCTAGTCTTCGATGCCATTGAAATTGCTTGTTCTTACCTAAAGAGAGAAAACAGTTTCATTGAATGAAGCCTTTTTACTAAGGTCAATGACATAGACATTGTTTTTCCTAACCCTAGGAATAATAATTTGTTGTCTTTGATTCTCTCAATAAGACATGTCTCCGGTTGAAACAACTCTATTAGTTGTACCACATAATTGACTAATAGATAACAGGTTGTGCTTAAGACTATCAAAATAACACTTGAGTGAAGGTAGGATTTGGAGGCTCTCCAATCGTACCAACTCCAAGTATTCTACCTTTACCATATCACCAAAGGTTACTTTACCTCCCTTTTTAAGAGTCAACTCTGAAAAGAGACTCTTGTTTCCCGTCATATGGTGAGAGCATCTGCTATCTAGATACCATTCATTTGCTCCTGCTCTCTTAATGACCTACAAAATATTTAGAGTGTTGATTTTGGTACCCAGACTTGCTTGGGTACCTTTTTATTGGGATACGATTGATATGAGCTATAGTAGTTATTGTAGTAGCAATTTCTCCTAATGTGTCCTTGTTTATGACAACAATAGCATACAATTCTTGAATGACATTCTTGTTTAGTGTGTCCTTTTCTAGTACATTTACTACACCTCACATTTTTCTTGCATTCTTTACTATGGTGACTCTTCCACAATTCATGCACCTAATTTTGTCATTATCTCCACTATGAGCATTACATTCAACACACATAATTGATTTATTATGAGGTTTTTGCACTTTTCTTTAGACTTCTTTTCCTTGTCTTCTAATCGCTCATCTTGGTATTTGCTTCAAGAAGTTAGTCCTAGAGTCTATTATTATTCTTTCCAGTTCATTATTTCTAACTCTCATATCTTCTAGTTCTTCAAGGTTATTATTCTTGAGTTTACCCTTTGATTTCTTCAGAACTTGATTTTCATCACGTAATATTGCAATATCCTCTTTTAATTCCTTAATTTCAATTTGCTTAGTTTCAAATCCTCTTTTACCTTGTAGTATCTATCTTTTAGTTTTTCAAAATGATTTTGCATTTCTTCATATGCTTCAACTATACTACTACGAAGATTTGAGCCACAATCACTATCATAAGTTGGAAAGGATGAACATACCTCATCTTCATGTGATCTTGACGAAGAGGATCCATCATCACGGTTGGCAAACGCCATATAGCCTTGTATTTCACTTTTGTTATCTTCACTTTCATCTTCTGATCCACTCCAAGCCACTGCATAAGCCTTTTCTCTACTCCGTCCTTTGTTAGGACATTCAACCCTTACATGACCACTCTTTCCACATTTGTAGCATTTTGGTAAACCTTGATCTTCACACTCACTTTCACTTTTTTTTCTTCTTTTGATTATCAAAAGATTTTACCTTTCCATTTCTATTATTCTCACGAAAAAAAGAACTACCCCTTCCTTGTTTTCTTTCTAATTTAAAACTTTTTGAATTTTTTGAAATGAGAGCAAATCCTTGATCGAAATCATCTCCGATCCTTCATCATTTGTGACTTTCTTCTCGCAAGCCTTGAATGCTAAACTTTATTTTTCTTGTCATTATTCTCATCACCTTGAGCTTTTAAGGCAATTTCATGACTAATTAGAGATCCTATCAAATTTTCAATACTAAGAGTAGATAGATTTTTAGCCTCTTCTATGAGTTTTCTTAGGCATCCATTCTTTGGGTAGACACCAAAGAATTTTCCTAACCAGTTCAGCATTATCATAAATTTTTCCTAACGCACTTAGTCTACTCACTATTAAGTTAAACCGAACATACATATCAGAAATAGACTCCCCTGGGTGCATTTTGAACATTTGATATTCATGCACCAATTGATATATCCTGGATTCTTTTACCTCAGTTGTCCCTTCATGTGATACTTCCAAGGTTTTCCAGATTTTATGTGTAGTCTTGCACCTGTTCACCTTATTGAATTCATCTGGACATATTGCACAATATAAGACATTTGTTGCTTTAGCATCTAAATCCATCTTCTTTAGATCATCGTAGACCATGTGTTGGGATCATCTTTGATATCACCCACACCATTCTCAACCACATTCCAACGTCAAAACCCATCCCTTTAAAGAAAACAATCATACGTGTTTTCCAAAAGGAATAGTTGTATCCATCAAACCATGGTGGTCTAACATATGAAAGACCCTCCATATGAGTAGAATTAGAACCATGATTTGTAGATGACCCACTAGCCATTCTTGGTATATCGGATCTCAGTTTCCTCGCAGATCTTTCGATCTTTTTGAGGGAGTCGGGCTCTGATACCACTTGTTAGACCAAGCGGGGTCAATAATGAACTTTTGACGTGGTCAATGCACAAATTAATTCTGATTTCAATAGTGAGAGATTAGCACTAGCTTGATTGAGCAATCCAAAAACTTGCCAAGAATCTCTCTTAAAGTGATTAATTTGTTGGCACTGATGACGAGAACAAAGTTAGAGAAGGTATAGAGAGATATATATATAGGTCGGGACACACGATTTTAACGTGGTTCGGCCAATATGTCTTTACATCCACGTCCCGGAGATAGTTACCACTATCTCACGAGAGACTCTAACTTTTATTAAAATAAAACTCTCTAACCTATGAGATTGAAACAACCTTGACACTTCGTGTCAAGAACCAAATAGGTGCAAATCCACACCTATTCAACCCTTAGCTAAATCCAAGCTAAGCTACCCACTCAATCAATCAAGCCAACACTCTTAGTTTGACTTGATTGAAGAGTAATCCACCTAGTGCAACTCCTAAGCAAGAATCCCCTCTTGCTCTTGCACTAGTCCCAATTACAAATACCTTTTCTACCCTAAAACCCGACCTAGCTTGAATATCTCAACCTCCGAGATATCAAGCTATTACACCATGAAATATGATCACACAATTTGCTATTACAAGGGAGAAGAGAACTTTGCAAAAGGTACTCTAAACTACAAATGACTTCCTATTTATAGTGAAAGCAAAACTTCATTTC